GTTCAGACTCCATCTATTCTTTCTGTGGAAGTGGATGACATTTGCATTAGAAGTCCTTGGATATGTCTTCAATCATTGTATTACTGAGAATAGCTGAGTTAGTCACAGTTGATCATTATACAATATTGCTTTTACTGTGTACACTATTCTTCTGGTGCTGCTCACTTCACTTTGCATCAGTTCACCTAAGTCTTCCCAGGTTTTTTCTGAATGCATCATGCTCATCGTTTCTTATAGCATAATATTATCTTGATACAATCATATACCACAACGTGCTCAGCCATTGTTCAATTGATGGGCATCCCCTCAATTTCCATCACAAAATTCTTTGTCACTACAAGAAGAGATGTTACAAATATTTTTTGTACACTTAAATCTCTTTTCTCTTTCCTCTTATCTCTTTGGGTGCTGGGTCAAATGGTATATACAGTTTTATAGCCCTTTGAGAATAGTTCCAAATTACTTTCTAGAATGGTTGGATCAGTTTACCACTACACTGACAGTACATTAGAATCTCAATTTTTCCAAATCCCCTTCGATATTAGTAATTTTCTTTTTCTGTCATATTAGCCAATCTGATAGGTATGACATGGTACTTGGAGTTTGCTTTTTTAAATTTGCATTTTCTCGGGGCAGGTAGGTAGCACAGTGGATAGAGCACCAGCCCTGAAGTCAGGAGGACCTGAGTTCAAATCTGACCTCAGATGAAACACTTGACACTTACTAGCTGGGTAAGTCATTTAACCCCAATTGCCTGAAAACTAAACAAAAAAATTTAAATGAAAATTAAATTTGTATTTCTCTCATTATTAGTGATTTAGAGCAGTTTGTCATATTACTACAGATAACTTTTATTTCTACTTCTGAAAATTGCTTGTTCATATCCTTTGACCATTTATCAATTGAGAAGTGACTTGTATTTTTATAAATGTGATGAAGTTGTCTACATATTTGAGAAATGAGGCCATTATCAGAGAAACTTGCTACAATTTTTTTTCACAGTTTCTTGCTTTCCTTCTAATCTTGGCTGCATTGCATTGGTTTTGTTTGTGCTAAAACTTTTAAATTTAATGAAATCAAAATTATCCATTTTGCATCTTATAATGCTTTCTTTTTGTCATAAATTCTTCCCTTATCCATAGATTTGACAGGTACTCTATTTCATGCTCCCCTACCTTGCTTATGATATCACCCTTTATGTCTAAATCATGTACCCATGTTGACCTTACTTGGGCATACAGTGTGAGATGCTGTTTTATACTTAGTTTCTGTGAATCTTTTTTCTAGCTTTCTCAGCAGTTTGTGAAATAGTGAGTTCTTGTCCCCAAAACTTGGATCTTTGTGTTTATCAAACACTAGATTGCAACAGAATTTCAGTTTCAATTACAGTACTAGAATACAAATACACAATTTACATCTGTGTATCATGTACTGAATCTGTGCTGTGTATCTATCATTCTATTTCTTAATCAGTGGTTTTTGTTGACCATTTTGCAATGTGGTTAGAGATCTGGTACTGCCAGGCCACCTTCCTTCCTAGATTTTGCCCATTGAGTCCCTTGATGTTCTTGACCTCTTGTTCTACCACGTAAATTTTGGTATAATTTTTTCTAGCTCTATGAAACAGTTTTCAATCATTGGTACAGTACTGAATAACTAAATTAGTTTATGTAGAATTGTCAGTTTTATTGTATTTACTCAGCTTGCCCATGAGCAATTAACATTTCTCCAACTGTTTAGAGCTGACTTTATTTGTGTGCAAAGTGTTTTGTAATTGTGGTCGTAGAGTTCCTGGGTTTATCTTGGCAGATTGACTCCCAAATAGTTTCTATTGTCTACAGGTTATTCTAAATGGAATTTCTCTTTCTACATGTTGTGCTGGACTTTGTTGGTAACATAAAGAAATGCTGATTATTTCTGTGGGTTTTTTATATCTTGGAACTGTGCTGAAGTTGTTAATTATTTCAACTAATTTTTTTAGTTGCTTCTCTAGGATTCTCTAAGGGCACCATCATATCATCTACAAAGAGGGACAATTTCATTTCCTCATCGCCTATTCTAATTCCTTCAATTTCCTTTTCTTCTCTTATTGCTATAGCTAGCATAGCTAGGGCAATATTGAATTACAGTGATGATAATGGGCATTCTTGCTTAACCCCGATCTCATTAGGAAGAAGTCCAACTGCCTGCTGATGGTTTTAGATAGCTAGGACTCATCATTTAAAAGAAAGCTCCATCTACTTCTGTGCTTTCCAATGCTTTAATAGGAATGAGTGCTGTATTTTGTCTAACACCTTTTCTGCAGCTGTTGAGATAATGATTTCATTTTTGCTGTTTTTCTTACTGACGTGGTCAATTGTGGGGGCTATAAATCCCACCTGGTCATAGGCATCATAGCTCCCAACTGCCACCTTGGTGTCACAGACATCTCCTGCTGATCTCGTAAGTTGCTTTGGGCTAGTAAATTGTTTTACTCCAAGCTTTTGTTGATTTTACTGCTCCAGAATTTTATTTGAGGTGTTATTTTAAAGTTGTTTGGAGGGAATTTGGGAGAGTTCAGGTCAGTTCCTGCCTTTACTCTGCCATCTTGGCTCCTGAGGACCTGACCTCACAAAGTTCACTACTGAATATGGCATCTAGTCTAGATAAGTGGATATGCTGCAAGATCAGGTGGCTCATTTACTAGTCAGGAGTAGCTTTTCACCTGGCACAGCATCTCAAGTGGGTTGATTATCCACCGGACACTCATCTGAGCTGTTCTGCTGTTTACCTGGGCTTGCTCCTAGATGGGAAAATAATCCCCACAACTTCTCATTTTAGGATCAGCTGAGGCCCACAGCTGGTGTAGTGTCATGCTCTTTCAAAAAGAGCAAAGGCCTCTAACCTAGGATTGACAGATGAATCTCCATGGTTTCTCTTTCAGGTGATCTCTGAGGATTTTTCCACTCCTTGAGACTAAGTGGATGAGCAAAGAGGCATAATCTCTCCTCTTCCTTGACTACCCTTCCTGGGCAAGGGTTGGGTCTCCTCAGTGACAGACAGCAATCTTACTAACAAATGCTTCTTGACTGATTCAATGGCTTGTGATGACCATGAAGTATGTTTCCCAAATCATCACCTCTGTAGGATATAACCATTTTCCCAATCCCCACCAAACAATTATGAGCTTCAGGTGTTCCTAGTTCTTTAAATTCTAAGTTTCTTCTCTTGGCCTTATGCAAATGAACCCCTTATAAACAAGAGACCAAGGTGTTCTATGACAGTCTACTGTCTCTGTTTCTTTTCTGACTTTACCTATCAATTACTCAAAGCCTCCTATATATCTATCCTTGACCCTTTTCACTACAAGTTGTCCAGAATCTGAAAGAAACACACATACATCAGGATCTGATCTGGGCTTCCTACTGAGGCCCTCTGATGCTGAAACTATTGTTCTTTGAACTTGGCTTCTTCCTGAATCTTAGCCCATCATTTGAGAGTGATTGTAAACTTCAGTCTTAATCAACTTGGTAAAAGCAAAAACATTTACATAGTCATCACTTTTCCAGTTCTGCTATCAACTGCAAATAAATCTTACATGCAATTCCTATTGTATTATCATTCTTCAATAAGGGCCAGTGACAGCAGATGCTAACTTCTGTTGAAATGTGAACTATCCTGAAAGGCATAGCTTTAAAATGTTGTTACTGGTCATGGGAAAGTGACTTTGGAAGTCAGAAAATGAGAAGTAGTTTGAAATCTAGAAGAAGGAACATGTGAGGATCCATTCTTTCTCCCTCCCAAGTCCCAGGCCATTGTGGTATTTGTTTTTATAGTAGCAGCCAGACCATCATTTCCAACACTGACATTTGATTAAGGCTCCAGGGAATTAGGCTGTATGGATAGAGGCAAGAGTTTCCAGTCTAGTAAAAATCACTCATCAACAAAGGAAAAACAAGGGAGGAAGGAGCAGCTTGTTCCTTTGGGTTAAGGTTATCTTGGGGCCATGCCTCAAGAAAAGAGATAAAGGAACATCTAGGCATAGATTGAAGTGAGTTTTGCAAGGAATGGGTTGTTGTTTTTTTTTTAAATCATTTTTGTACTGCTTTGAACAATCTGAAACAAGACCAAAGGCACTTAACTCTGGAATAGTGTGGCAAATGAAATCTCTAGGTAGCCACCAGATGGTGCTATCTAGGAAGACTGGCCAGATAGAAGGAGTGGCAGACAGACCACAAGCAGTCATTAAGATCTTACAACATGACAGGAATTGTTCTCAATTCTCAGGGCACTAAAACATGCACAAAGACAATAAAGAATGTAACCTCCTTCTCTTAAGGAGCTTACATTCTAAAGGGCAAAGACTACACAAAAAATGAACTGAAAAGGGAGGGGGTAGTAAGAAGGTAGTTGTGTGGAGCCTGGTGAAGAACAATGTGGAGGAAGGGCAATCAATGACATCATCTCTATCATACTTTATGACTTCATGTTGTCCCATTTTCTGTGTCAAGAGGAGATGGGTTTCTCACAGCTCCAAGTAGCTAGTCCTCCAATTACAGTTCTATTACATATCCTCCCTTGAAATGCGTCCTCAGTCTTTCCTCCTCAAATCACTGAATGTTGTGCTCTGCCAACATCCCACTTCTCAGGACAGCAATATCAAAGACTCCATTCTAAGTCCTGGAATCCAACTCTTTTTTGTGTATTTCTGTATGTTGAAGAGGAACATGTATCCTATTGCTCCCTCAGCATTAGAAATTTGTCATGACCAGCTCACTCGGCTACAGAGCCTACGTAGGACCTAGGATTTCCCAATCACCTGAAGAATCAAGACCAGCTTGATCTTCTATCTCGAATACACATTGATGAGGCGGGAGACAAGATGGCAGCAGCTCCATTTATTTTTAGCAAAGCACTTACTTATATAGTAAAATAACAGGAACTCTTTCTCAAGTTACAATGATGTATAGCCTATGCTGTGCTCAAGGACAGTGCATGCACAGTCTGTGCACTTACCTACCACCAATCACAAATACACTGTTAATGACTAATGAGTAACTAGGGAAGTTAGAGATGCATAGAATGGAGCACTGAACCAGGCAATCTTTAAGGCTCATGGACCAACACCTGAGAGGGGCCTCAGCCCTTCAGTGAGATCTCGTGAACTGTCTGTGGCCCTCTACATCCTTACAGATCCCTAACAGAAATTTTGCAGTGCCTTTGCTTGAATACTATGCCTAAAACATATATTGAAAAAGTCATCATGGAGAAAGGTAAGTGTCTAAGAATAAGCATTAAGGACTTATTATTTGCCAGGCAGTCATTGTAGCGGGGACATAAAGAAGACAAAAGAAAGATAGTCCTAACTCTTGAGGAGCTTACAATCTAATGCAGAAGAAAATAAATAAAATGGGGAGAAAGAAGTACTTAGATATAGGAATGGTGGCAAAATTCATAGAGTCAGAAGCAGAGGATGGAGTGAAAGGAAGCATAACTGGCCTAGGTCCATGTTCCAAATGGAGACCCGCAAAAGGATCTCACCAATGGAAAGAGGAGGCTAACATGACACAAGGATATTTCAGGGTCAGAAGGTCCTAGACCATGAGGGAAGTTCCAGGGTGAGAGGGCCACTGAGGCAAGGTGTAAAATTCCTTAGAGTCAGACTCCACCCAGGAGGGGAATGCAGAAAACAGGAGTTCTGGGAGAATGAACTTGAACTTTCCCTCTCTCCCTCTTTCCTCACACCCAATCAGTTCTACCACTTTAATGTCACTGAATCATTCCCTCTTTTCCATTCCTATTGCTGCCACACTAGTACTAGCCTACCTCACCAATCACATGTACTACTGCAATAGAAATAATAAAATTCTATGAAGGGCAGATTATGAAAGTCAACAAGTATGCATTGTGTACCTACTGTGCACCATGTATTGTGAAAAGAATAGGAAATACAAAGAAAGACAAAAACAGCCTGCCCTCAAGGAGCTCACAATCTAATGAGAGAGACAGCATGCAAACAACTGTGCACAAAGAAGATATATACAAGAAAATGGGGGGTCTTCTCAGAGGGAAGGTGTGAAAATGAAGGAGGCCTTAGAAAGGTTTCTTGCAGAAAGGGGGACTTTATCTGATGCTTGAATGAAGCTAGGAAAGTCAGGAAGTAGAGATGAAAAAGACTGTTCCAGGCATGGTGGACAACCAGTGAAAACTTGGGAGTTGGGAGGTAGAGTGTCACATGAGAAAAGCAGTAAGGAGTCCAATTTCACTGGATTGTAGGGTTCATGGAGGTAGGGGAGGAGGGAAGGGATTCATGACTAGAAAGGTAGGAAGGGTGTAATGGTGAAGGGCTTTAAAGCCAAACAGGATTTTATGTTGGATTCTGCAGACAACACGGATGCACTTGAACATATTGAATGGGATGGGGGGGGTATATGGTCCAAATTGCCCTTTAAGAAGAGCAGTTGGACAGATGAATAGAGGATTATATGTAGTGGGAAAAAGACAGAGAGAATTCCAGGTAAGGGAGACAGTCATTGAAAATGCATGGAGTCTCAGAGTCAAATCTCTTGTCTATTCCACTCTCCCCAAGCTTATGGTAATCTAACCACAGTAGAGAATTAAAAAACATGGAAATTGAATTATCTCTACCCCTAAATAAGCACTGTCTCTGACATCTTCCTTTTAATTAGGCTGGCTAAAAGATAGAAATTTTAGTTGTCTTCAAAACATTGACCTTCAGTTTTATTAATCAGTTCTAGAATGATTTTGGTTTACTACTCATCTTTTTCTCCTCTGATTTTGAAGATATACACTTCATATTTATTTTGGATTTATTTGATGACTTTTTGAAGGCTAAAATACATATTTGGTTGATCTGTTTTTAAAGTTTATATTTTTAAGGAAATCATATTTATTCTGAGGACTGCTTTAGTTGCATTTGGAAATTTTCGTATGTTGTCTCACCATCGGTTTTTCATGTAATTATTATTTCTATGACTTGTTCTTCTATGTACTCATTATTCAGGATTTTATTATGAAGTCTTCATTTAGGTCTGTTTCTTTCCTCCTGAATTGGTGATTTTTCTTATGATGCTATGACTGGCAAAGGGTGTGTTTAGTATTTCTGCCTTTTGACATTTATTTGTAATTTCTCTATGCCAAAAATACATGGTCAATTTTTGTAAAAGGACCTTGTGATGCTGCATTCTTCAGAGTCACCTCTCAGATTAATGTCATGGAAGACTCCATGGGGCTCTCACATGAGCGGTGGTGATACTTTCTTCAAAGAATTGTAGATTGTGTGGTGTGTACATGAGAATAGTGCTGTTCCTCTCTCCTTTTTGACCTTTCTTCTCTCCAGAATATTACCCTGAGCCTTTTCTTCATCTTTGTTCCTTCCCTTTCCCCTCCAATCTCCTGCTCACACTTCTCATATCTAGCTCCATTTCTCCAACCAGTCATCCACCCCAACCTTCATGCCATTCTCCACATTACCCCACTTTTCTGTACTCTGGTATATTTTTGTCATCTTACAGGGACCATCTGCCTTCAAAGCAGGGCCAGGATAGGAGAAGTTTGAGGTGGGGTGATCTGTTACACCAACTTGCATAAGCCTCACTTGGGAGATGCCCCCAGCTCTGATACACAGGGCAACATCTCTGTGGACAATGGGGCCACACTGGGAAAGCTTTGGATCATACAACAGAAGAGCTTGGTTATAGTCCTGGATCTTCCACTGACTTGCTCATGAAATCTTGGGAAATTGTTCTGTGAACCTGTTTCTTCTTCTGCAAAATAAGGAAGTTGGGGCAATGGATTAGAAGCTCCTTCAGGTCCCTTTTAGCTCTAACCTACTTAAATTCTAAGGCTTGACTGGAAATCACAATCTTATTTTCCCTCCACACTTGCATTCCCCTTCCACAGTGCCAATGCAGATGAATTAACCAGCCTTTGTGCTGCCCTATACCATGCATTGTAATCTCCCACTTCCAAATTCAGTGCTTCTCCCATGCAAAGAATGACTTCCATGAGGGAAAGGACATCATCTGAACAACAACAAAAAAAATGGCTCCTATAGCATCCGGCAGGATTCTGCACGTTCTACCTACTTCTCTCTTCCAATATCACACTCATGCCAACACTTTCAGAGCCAACCACAGTAGAAAGTCACTTCTTCTTCCTCACATATTTTTAGTGTCCCAGATCATTCAGTGGCACTCAAAGGCTGTGCCTTGTATTTTACTCGGTATGCCCAAATTATATGAAACTTATTCCTGCAATCATGTGTACCCACAGTGTTGCCAACAACTTAAATATTCTACATGTCCCACTTCCTCACAGCAAAGAGATATACATCAAGTAGGGTTTGAGAACCATTAACTCACAACCTCTCTTCTCCCCTTTTTCTCCTATGAAGTTCATAGCTTCAAAAGCAAGAGACAACTGTCAACTCCAGGACATTATGGTATTTACTTCAGGTGCCCCCCAAAACAAAGGACCTTTTTTCCTCTAAGGCCCAATGAGGACAAAGAAAGGGAGATCAGTTGTGGAATGGCTGTTTTTTGAACAGATTATAAGAATAGAAAAGAATACTATTGTTCCAAAAGAAATATTGAAAGGGATAGATTCAGAGAAGCCTGGCAAGACATATCAAGTGATGCAGAGTGAAGGCAGCAGAATCAAGAGAACAACTATGATGTAAAGGAAAACAACCTTGAAAGACCCAAGAACTCAGACCAATTCACAACTCCTCCTTTGAATGTCTACCTGATTGAGGGTATGGAAACTGATACTGTCTCTTTCAAATATTAAGAGCCAGAAAGAGCTGAAATAGAAAATTGAGAGATATTTTGCTGGCAGTTTAAAAAGTCAGCTGAGAAAATGGACTGATGGAAATGAAGCATTACTCCCAAGTCAGGGAGAAGGTATCTACTTTATTTGTAAACCATGAGTATCTAGGAAGATTCTGTGGAGAAGAAAGGAAGCAGGCGAGAAGATATCCTTTCCTTATAGGAACTATCTTAATAATGGTACAATAAAGAAACTTTCTAATAGGAATTCTGTGAGAAATCTGAGGAGTAAGAAGTACAGTGTTTTGGAAAGGCTGTTTTCTGTCACTACTGAAGAGATGATGAAGAAAAAGGACTAATCCTGTAGAGAACTATGAAAAAGATATTTGAGGGGATTTAAATCTTTACATCGAGTGAGATGAATGATTTGAGACTGTGTTTCTGGACATGGAAAAAAGAGTTACTGATACATTAAAGATTTGACCTGGCTTATGACCTAAGTCATAGCCAAAATTCTGTAAGTAGAACTCTATGATTTTAGGCTTATTCTTAATTCCAGTTGTTAAATTACATATGCATGTATTCAACAATTTAAATACTTATTTAAATATTGAAAAGTAAGTTTGATTTTATAAAAGAAAATTTCTCTAATCCATTAAATAATTAATATTTAATGAACTGGAGTAAGACTGTAAGCTAAATACTTAATAACAGACTGCAAGCTTAATAAACAGAAACCAATTACCACAGTTTAGCCCTAGATTGCAGTTGGGCTCTGGAAGATAAAATAAATATAGAGTAATAAATGAAGCCTCAGGTTGAAAAGTGGTAGCATACAAGTGAATCAGACCCCAGATCCCAGAATCCATTGGTACAAGTTGGAGCATTCCTGTCTCTTCAACCTGTTAAAAAAGCTATGACTTATCATGACTTTAAAGATAGATAATGCATAATCTTTCCCCCCCACCCCCCAAAAAAGCCTAGAGGTACAGAGTGAGATACATGCTTTCAGACCACATCAATATATCAATTTCTTTTTTCTTCACCATTTTTTATTTGTTTTGAGGGTAAGTTTTTGTTTTTGAGAGAGAGTGTGTGTATTGGGGGAAAGGAGATAAAAAGTTCAGTTGCAAAGAAAGAAAGAAAAAGTAAAGAAAGAAAGAAATGAAAAAAGGAAGGAAGGGAAGGAAAAGAATGAATGAAGAAAGGAAGAAAGAGGAAGGAAGAATGAAATAAAAGGAAGGAGGGAGAGAGAAAGAGAGAAAGAAAAGAGCTTCAGTAAAACATTTGAAAAAATATGTAGCAGTTAGCAGAAGTTCAGAAAGGAACAGAGAAGCAGAGCAGTTTTGTTACTATTGTGTTAATTTTATAAACATTGTGCTATGTCCTGGAAGTGCAATCCTCTGTTTATAGTCCAGCAGACCTGATTCAAGTTATAGAACCAACAAACTACAGGGTCCTTCCCACAAAGTTCTGCTGGCTAAAAATAAAATGTGTCAACAACCACGTAAAGACATGTGAATTCTCTCTGTGGGCAGATTTCTTTGTTCCTTTCTGGTGTGGCAGCTAGCTTACCACACTCTCCTTTACATGGAGATCATGTACCTGTAAGAGGAGGAAGGAAAACAGAGGAAGGGAAATTTTATCAATTCCCCTTTGCATATACCCCTGCAGGTCTCCTAGTAGCATAAATTTGGTGAAGAACGTGGACAGTACCTTCTTACGTGGAAGGAAAGCAGAAAAGAATTTGCTAATTGTCACTAATAAATGACTTCCTTTTCTAACAAAGTTGTTCCTCATGATCATGGACAACACCCATAGAATAAATGGAGCTGCTTTTTCACAACTATGGCTAAGGCCAGAAGTGTTGATCAAATAAGTGTTGGAGTAGGATGCTCAAAATACTCAAACCAATTTAAAAGACATTAAATTGGAAAGCTTTTGAATAAAAAATATCAATACACTAGAATAAGAGAAATTGTAAATTGGGTAAAATTCCGCATCAAATAACTCTGACAGAGGTCTGATTCCCAAGATTTATACACAATTTAAACAAATGTCAAAGACCAAGACAAACAATCCAACAGACAAGTGGTTAAAAGATCTGAGTAAATTTCTCCAAGGAATAGCAAGTTATTAACCACCATAACAGATTGTTTCAACCAACCAAGAATTAGGATTTATTTCTGATTTTATCTCATACCCGCAAACTTAGTAAACATGACAAAGATGGAAATGGTGTTAGCTAGACTCCAGGATGACAGCCACATTGGTACCACTCTCAATGGAGTTGTGAAATCGTCTATCCATTATGGAAAACAAATTGAACAAAAATCAGAACTACAGTTTTTATGCATTTTATCCCCTGCTGAATATATACACCCAAACAGACCACAAACAGAAAGGTATCTGAGAAACCAACTATTTATAGTAATTTTTTTTTGTGGTGGCAAAGAACTGAAAAAAAATTGAGTACTCATCAGTTTGGGAATACCTAAACATATTGAAGACCACATATACATTGGAATATTAATATGATAAAAGAAATGAGGGATATGAGGAATTTGGAGGAAAATGGGAGCATTTACATGAACTGATGCAGAACTAGGAAAACAATAGAGATGAGGACTATGGCAATGAAGACAAAGAGCCTTAAAATGAACTGGTCTTTGGGTAACCCCAATGACCAAGTTTGGCCATAGAGTAGAATATGCACCTATTTTTTCTTTTTGAAGAGATGTGGGACTGTAAGTGTGAAATACTGCATAGGCTGTCAAACACAGTGGATGAAAATGTGGTTGGTTTTAAATAACTGTTTTTGCTCATCTTTGTTACATACATTTGAATCCTCACTGGGTAGAGAAAGTTGGGAGGGGTTGTACTCGTGAATAAAAAGGAGTATATCAATAATACTTTAATTGAAAAGAGGGTGATATTGAGGCACACCATGGATGTGTGTGTTTCTGTGTAGGTTGTAGCATATTGCCAATTTTAAAGAACTGAGGGGGAGAATGAGCTTAAAGGTTATCATCAGAGACGTGTGACCAAAAAAGGAAGTGAGGCTATCATGTAGGGAGTGTAAGGGATGATCAGTGGACAGCCTATGGCATTCCGTGCCACCCACATGGCATCAAGCCATTTAGAGGAAAGCTACCAGCACACTGAGTAGACCTCCATGAAGGATTTATGGGAGGACAAGCACAAAAGTCACATAGGATGACAAGACTTGGAGGAGCTGTGTGTGATCTGCACCTTTGGAGGGATTAACCACATGGGAATATTGAAATTTCTTTCTTCTCCCCACTTCTGCTATTTCCTTGTTGCCCAACACCAGGGGAATCTCCCCCTTCTGATGTACTGGAGACAAGACTCCAGGGATGAAAATGTCCAAAATGTGCATGCAGCAACATGTAGGTCTATGAGAGTGAAGCACAGACCTCCTCCCCTCACCAGCTAAGACCCTGTGTGGGCAGCTGGTCAAATATGACAGGAGGCATACAGTGAGAGGAATTACACAGGCAGTCCAGACAGAGGCAGGTACTCCAGGGAAGGGCTCAGTAGTGCTAACCTTGTGGTACAGACAGGTGGCTTCCATGTTTGGGAGAGATGCTGGGGGGAGAAGTACCAGCTCCAGGGGACACACAGCCTCAGGGGTCAGATGGAGACTATCAGAAGACAGTGGTGAATCACTTGCAGGGCTTTGAGCCCATAAGCAGCATCACTTCTTCCCCTTTCAGTGTCCAAGGTGTTACTTAGTTTCAAAACCTATTGAGAAAAGGTTGTTATCAGAATCCAGCCCCACCTGCATAAGGAAACTTACCTGTTGGTTGTTGGCCTTGGTTTCCTGGGATGTAAGACAGATACAAATACCTACACAAACCCTGGTGAGTTACACAAAACCCTGGTGAATCCATGATCCACGAAAGGGAAGAAAGTAGAGCATCTGAGCAAAGTGGAATAAGAAGCTCCCTCTATGCTTCTGGGTATGTGTGGGCCCTCAGAGCTGGGATGCAACATGTCTCAAAGAGCTCCCTTTGTGAAAATGGGTTCTCCAAAACCTTTTGAGGCCTAAGATCTGGCCTCCTCAGCTCCCTTTTTAAAGTCAAGGTGATGAAGAGCTACAGTCAGAGCCAGAGGACCTCCTCACCCTGCACCAGATTCAGAGCTTCAGCCAAATGCAGTCCCCACCTCCTCCCCTGCAGAGAACATGGGGGGCTCAGGGCCATCCCCCAAGTTTCTCACCTTTCAGACTCCTAAGGTGAACAGCGAGGCCAACCCCAAGGAAGATCAGCCCTAGCACAAGGCCCCCAAGTCCACTCAGCATCTTTCTCTGGTCAGAGCTGGACGGTGCTTCTAGGGAGGAGACACACCAAGAATCACAATTTTCCCTCTAGGAGCCATCTTGGTGTGGTAAGCAGACAAGTCTGGAAGCCTGAGTAGTTGGTTAAAGGGAAGGAGGAAGGGAAACCTAGTTGCCTTATGCTAGGGCAAAGGAGGATACAGGCTGATTACAGAGTCCCCAAAGGAGGCTAGCTTTAATCCTGGGACCACTAAGAATGCCAAGGTCCTAGGTCTCCATAGTCTGCAGCCCAGCACTGCAGGCAGGGAGTTGCACTGAGGGAAAGCACAAGAAATTGTTGAGTAGGAGAAAGGGCAACAGGAGACTAGAACTAGAGGCTGTCATGTCCTGAGGAATGTTGGGTCTGAAGGATCAGGAGCTGATTCTCACCCCAGACCACAATGACAGAGTTCTGAAGGCTGGAGTGCTCCACTTGGCAGGTGTAGACTTGTCCATACTTGGGGATCATTTCCAGCATCACCAGGATCTGGTAGGTCCAGTCTCCATTGCTAATCAGGCCTGTGGACATAACCCCAAATGTCTCCTCCTGACCATTCAGGAACCACCTTACCTCAATGTCCCCAGGATAGAAACCAGTAACAAAACAGATAAGCTGGTTTGGGTATTCTAGGGTAGCAATCTTTGATGGATACACAGTCACTTGAGGCTCAACTAGAAGAAAAAAGAAAGACCCTGAGTGAGAGAGCCAGAGCAGATCTTTCTAGTCCAGGCCCCATTTCTGTCACCTCTTCTTTCCCTTTCCCTTTCCCTTTCCCTTTCCCTTTCCCTTTCCCTTTCCCTTTCCCTTTCCCTTTCCCTCTCCTCCCATCTCCCTTCACTCTGTGCTCCCCTCTCTCTTCACACTCCACTCATTGCTTGCTTCACCCTCGCTTCTCCTCATCTGATCTCCTCCTGTCCTTTCCTCATCTCATCCTCCTTCCCTCCCCTCCCTCTCCTCCTCTTTCTTTCCCCTTATCCCCTCCCCTTTCCTCTCCAATCTCTTCCCTTCTCCATTCCTCTTCCCCTCTCCCCTTTCTCCTCCCCTCTTGTCACTTCTACTCACCCTTCTTCTGCATCCAGGACTCCAACAACCTATAGTTGTCCCTGCACATGGCCACCTGGGCCCGCGCTTGCTCCAGGGCCTCCACCAGGCTATTCATTAGCTCTGCAATGGGCCGCCACAGCTCCGTCAAGGCCACGAACTCCCCCACATCACTGTCGAAGCGCAAGATCTCCTGGAGGTTGTAGATGAGTCTCCCCACAAACCGCACGTGCTCAATCCCATTGCCAAAGTGACACTCAGCCTTCATCTGCTCCATAAAGTGCTCTGCGGGGGCCCCAAAGACAGGTCAGCCCTGTCTGGCAGCAGTCCCCCCAAACCCTGGCTGGGCACGGGGGTAAAAAGCGGCTACACCTGCTCCCCTCTTCTAAGAATCAGGCTGATATTTGTGCGGATGACCTGCTCTACCATTCTGAGTCCCTCCTCCTCCCCCCGCCCCCGCCCCAGCTTGGCAGCAAATTTGTTGACTAAAATGCCTGCCTTCTGATTCTCAGGCAGTTATTCCTTTTGTTGCACCCACAGCTGACATTCAAGATACTAATTCCCTGCCCCTCCCTGCGGGGCAAGTCTACACCTAACCAACCCAGCACAAACCCTGCAAGGAAATTATACCCAAAGTGCAACCTTAATCCTTCTCCCTGCTCTCTGAACCTTCTTTACTCCGGATGTCTTTACAGAATCTTTGTATCCCCAAAGCAACTGGGCTCTTTTTCCTATACTCTTCCTAGTTTAGATCCTGGACTATTGCAATTGCTTCTTAATAGATCTCCGCCACTCACACCCCACCAAGTCTCTCTTTACTCCAACCCTTTCTCTCCCAGTGGCCAAAATGATAAATAAACTCCAGTGTCTCCCTGTTACCCCTAGCATAAAATATAAAATTCTCTTCTGCTTGGCTTATCAAGGCTTTCCCCAAGGTGGCCTCAACCTACCTTTTCAAGCCTCATTATGTTTCTGCCCTCTTCAAGTCTAGCTAAATTCCAGGACCTTCTTATTGCACCTCCCATGCAATACTCCACCATCCCCTGTCTCCAGGCCTTTGCACTGGCTGTCTGCCGGGCTTGGAATGCATTCCTTCTTCATCACTGTCTTCTTGAATTCTTTACTTCAAGACTCAGCTCACATTCCATTTTCTACACGAAGTATTTCCTGCTAGTACGCTCCCTCCAAAAACAACCTTATATTTTCATTGAATATGTATGTATATATGTATGTATGTGTGTATATACATATAATGGGTGTGTATATGTGTGTGAGTGTGTGTTTGTGTGTGTGTGCGTGTGTGTGTGTGTGTGTGTGTGTGTGTGTGTGTGTGTGTGTTGTTGTTTCCCATGAAAGAAAGTAACTGCCTTCAGAGCAGGGACTCTTCTGTGTTTTTGTTTGTCTATTTGTTTGCTTTGTCACACAATTTGCGTGTCACACAATAGGCACTAAATAAATTCTTCTTAACTGATCATATGCTTGCCACCTTCTGTGCTCATCCTCTCAGACATGGAATTCCCTGTCTCTCATCTCTACTCATTACAATACTATGTGTCTTTCTAGGCTCAGCTCAAAAGTCACCACTTCCCTATTAAGTGTTCCATAATCACTGCAGCCAGAAGACTCCTAGTTATATGGTCTCTCCCCACGCTAATGCAAGGTACATCAGTCCCTAAAGGAAAGGTCTGAACATGTCACTCTCTACCATGACCACCCTACAGCTCCATGACCTCTGGTGGTCCCTGTTGGCTCTAGAAACAAAACATCACTGTCTGTTAGAAACTTCAAGTACTTTATTCCCAGACTCTGGCCTCCCCTTCCAAACTCCTTTTCATATACTCTACAGTGGAGGTGTCAAATATGACCCACAGGCCGCATGTGACAGACACCACCCCTGTGTGTCCCAAACCGGATTAAAACGTAATTGGGAAACATTTAATAAAATAAAACTACGGTGCAAATAGATAATAGCAATATGTCTAAGTCAATGTGTGGTCCACGTGGGGCCATTATTTATGGGTTAGTTGCCCCTCTTCCCATTTGGGTTTGACACCACTGTTCTCTACTTCAGCCAGATGACCTCCTGCCAGTTCCCCATATGCAGTACACCGGCTCCCTTCTTCAGCCTTTGTGCCCCATGCCTGGAATGCCCTCCATCCTCACCTGCCTAGGAGAATTCCTAGTTTCTTTTGAGGCTCTACACCAGCTTCTACACGAAACTCTTTCTTTGGGTCTCAGCTACTCTGGTGCCTTCCCCACACAACTGCTCGGTATTTATTTTTGTGTATTTTGTATATACACACATATAGATATGGATATGTCTCTCTCTCTCTCTCTCTCCATATATGTGTGTATGTATGTATATATATATATATATATATATATATCTGTTACATACATACAGATACATATACACCCCTATAATCTGATAGAATGTTAACTCCTGAAATAACAACAAAAGTTTCATTATTGTCTTTGTATTCTCAATACCTAGGAAAGTCCCTAGTACATTGTTGGTGCTTAATCAATGCTTATTTCTTGATTAATTGATAGAATGTTAGGACTAGAAAAGATCTTGGCAATCATTCCATCTAACCTCATCCCTTCTCTGCCACCACTATTACACATACACCATTTCACGGTTTAGGAAAGTAAAGTCCAGTGCTTTGCCTAAGATCATAGGAGAAGGCATTCACCAAAAGTTAAGGCCACCATCTGCATTCCTACAGCCTTGGTCCTTTATGCAATGCTCATGGCATGTACCACATTCAGCCTTGGTGCTCAGCCTTATTGCTGTCAGCTTGGTTACAAGCTCCTAGAAGCAAAGGCAACTTCTTGGACTTTTTAGTGATTCCCCACAGCTCCTGTCACAGACTGTCATGTAATGAATCCTCAGTGATTACTGCCTGAGTAAGTGAAGAAGGCATCTAGGTGTTCTAGGGGGTAGAGCATTGGATCTGGAATCAGGAAGACTTGAGTTCAAATTCAGCCCCAGATGCTTGCTAGCTATATGACCTTGTGCAAGTCACTTAACTTCTGTCTTCCTCAGTTTCTTTACCTATAAACCTCCCACTGTTTTATTGGCAATGAGATAATTTGTAAAAAAAAAAACACTTTGCAAAATTTCAAACACTACAAAAATGTGAAGTAATATAGTGAAGAAATGCTTACCGATCTTGGCCCAGCTCAGATCCTGCCTGCTCCTTCCTTGCTTATCCCATGCCAAAGGAATATCCCCCTGCTTTCCTCTCTTGCTCTAATTCGCCCTCTGTACCACACACAGACAGTTAGGGAAGAACTTGAGTCGCTAGCTACATTTTCCTGTAAGTTGGGTGTCTCTGATACTTTGTATTCCCCATGTCCCCAAGCACAGGGCTCTGCAGAAAACAGTTACTTAATAAACATCTCTACTTTGGATGACTGATTACACTGAATCACTTCCTTTTCATTCCACTAATGGCTGCCTCTAGGCTTGACTGAGTCTCTGGAACTAAGCAGCCATGCTGAGGCTGAGATTCCACTGCTCAGCTTCCCTTGTTCAGGACATGACTGTTAGACCCCAGGCAGCTCCATGTGTCAGGCCCAGCCCCTGGCAATCAGAATTACACATGGGACATTCTACCCAGAGGGTTGTACTGATGCAAGCATCAAGAAATTGAAGGGTTTTCTAGATACATCATGGATGAGAGATCCAAGGCAGATGATTAACCTGATGAGGGAAGTGGTGGCCAGGCTGGGGGCCAGGATGGGCTGTAGGGGAGATGTTTGGAATAGTATTAAAGGGCTTTTGATCTGATCACTATCTACCTGCAAATCTTGCTGTGCTTGGTGGGGTTTCTGTCATAGCCCAGAAGACTCCCTTTGGAGGACGGAGGAGTTTTGACAATGTGACCCCAAACTACTTTTCCAGTTTCATTATACACATTCTCCCTCTTCAATGAACTTTATGATCTCACAAAATTACTTCTTTTCATTGTCCCTACACCACATTCTATCACTTATATCCATGTTTTCACATTGGTTGCGCCCTATGCCTGCAATGCACTCCCTCCTCATCTCTACCTCTTAGATTCCCTGGCTTCCTTTGGGACAAAGATCTAGCACCATTGTCCACATGAAGTGTTTAATGAACCTCTGACTTGCCTTAGAGAGAAGGCTTGTACCTAAATTAGTTTGTATTTATGTTTAATTTATTCTGTGTAGAGTTCTATTTGTACAAGTTGTCTCCTCTGAGAGACTCTAAGCCCCCTGAGGGCAGGAACTAATTTGGGTCTTTTCCTTTCCTATCTCCAGCACCAAGTGTAGTGCCAGATACATGGAAGGTACTTAATAAATGCTTATTGATTGGGTGATTGGTGCTATCTTCATGCAAGAAGTCCTGTGATCCAGATCCTGGGTTCTAGGAGCAGTAGCAAGGAGACAGACTATAGCAGTCACTGATCTGGGTGAGGATCTGTCAGTCACAACAGGAAATAATCCTTGACTAGAACAGAGAAGTGGAAATTTATGGATTTTGAACCTGGAATATTTCTTCAGCCCATTGACAAGGGATATGACGATAAAAAAAATCCCTTCCTGGCTCAGCCCCCTTGGTCTCTCTAGCTCATAGTTGGCCTCTGACCTGCCTCAGAGGGAAGCATAGGAAAATGCTGCCATTACCATGTTAACCCAAGGGCTAGGGATGGATCCCAAATACCTTGGCTTCACAAAAGGCTTTCAGATCCTCCCATTCTTCCAGGGAGGGGTAAGCAAAATAAGAAATCTCTCACCTTATAAACACCAACGTTGAAATTAGTTTAGCAAATTTGGCCATCTATGGGAAGGTGTTTAGGGCAAGAAAGTTTAGGTGAGAGTGTGATAGGAAGAGTAGAGACTCAGAGCCCCTGAGAATGGATGCATTTAGGGACAGAGAAAGGGAGGGGAAGCAACAGTATACTTGGAATGTGGGTTAAAGGCAGGAGGGAGGACAGCTAGGTGGCACAGTGGATAGAGTTCTGGCCTTGTAGTCAGGAGCACCTGAGTTCAAGTCCACTTCAGATACTTAACACTTACTAGCTGTGGGACCCTGGGTGAGACAATAAAAAAAAAAACCAAAAAAGGGAGGAGGGGAGCACAGCAATAGGATGATGGGACTTCAGAGACCAGTCTCTTCTGACTTCCCATCCCTCCAAGTGCCAGCCTGCTCCCCAGCCCTTCTTTGGTCTGAGCCATATAGAGAGGAGGATTTTTCTTTTTTCTCCACCTATCCTGCGTGGGGAACTACTGCTCTATACTTACCTGGAGTTTCTCTGCCTGCAGCCACTAGGGAATTCAGCACTAGCAGGGTCATCATCAGAACTTTTGTCCACACACATAGCATCCTGGAGGCAGGGAAAGGACAAGGGACACAGAGGAATGGCAGTCAGGTGGTCCCCAGCTCTTAGAAACTGCCCTTAAAACTTCCAGAAGAAGAACTTAAGTGCTCTCTTGTGTGCTCCGGGATTGGGCAGCCTCAGAGATGGGAGAACCAATCTGGATCAGGACTGAACTACATCATCAGTTCCTAGGCAGAGATTTCATTTGAAGATTCTCTTCCAATACTCAGATTTTCCTGAGGGAGAAAAGAGAACAGAATTCCTCGAATCTCATGGGTGCCAAGGACCTTAGAAGTTACCTCTTCCCCAGACTATTGCAATAGTCTCCTCCTTGGTCTCCTTGCCTCCAGTCTTTCTCTCTTCATGAATCTATAATGCATGAAAGTGATTAAATAATATTGCAGAAGAATAATGAACTTGACTGTAGCATTCCCCTGCTCAAAAACTGCAAGTAGCTCCCTGTTGTCCCTAGAATTAAATACTAAGTGCCCCGTTTAGCATTTGAAGGCCTTTATAATCTGATCCCAGCCAGGGACCTCTCCAGCATTTTGACACTTTCCTGCTCTTTCTTAAAAATATAACCAGCAGCTATTTCTGATTCCAATTCTGGGAGCCAAGATGGCAGATAAGAGGTGAATCACTCTTACCCTCTTGTATTAATCCCTCAAAGCCCAGAAAATATCACCCCAGGAAAAACCCAGGAACAGCTGAACCAGAAGAAAGATGGGGTGCAGCAGTCCAGTAGCCCAGGTAGCTTGAGGGATTAACTGGAAAAGCCCCTCTTACCCTGGGGGAAGGGGAGTAGTACAGAAAGGGAGGCATCCTGGCAAGCTAGTGGAAAGCCCCACCTTAGCATGCCAGGAGGAGATCCTGAAGCCCAGGTGGTGGAGCAGGCAAACACCAACACCTGGACCCCTGAGTGCCTCATTGTGGGCAGGAAAACTGGTGGAACCACCTCAGAAAACCAGTAGGTGCCTCTGCATTCTACAGCAACCGACTCTCCCAGTGCCTCAGCAAAACTAAGGGAAGCAGTGCTCCAAGGGGCCCCAGGCAGATAAACACCCTACAACATCCATCTGAAAAGAGCTGAAGAAAGCAAAAGGAAGGAAAGGCCTGGGTGAGCAGGAAATCTCCAGGAGCCATACTACCCAATCCCACCCCTAGAGTTCCAGTATTGCTGTTTCCAGCCCAACACTAGGTAAGCTGCCCGAATCCTACAGGCTCCAACTGCCAATATTGGAGGCCCCAGCACACAAAACCATCGACCAGGCACTAGGCTCCCAACACAAGAAGCTTGGGTCAGTGCCCTCTGCTCACCAGCAGGGGAGCCCAATCTCTTTAAAGGCCAGGAAATAAGCAAACACCATTAGCAAAAAGAAACATAGGATAGATTCTTTTTATGGGAAGAGTGAAGACCAAGGCAGGAATTCTGAAGAGGAAAACAAACCCATATCTGGAACCTCAAAAGGGAATATGAACTCCTCTAAAGCCCAAAAAGCCTTCTTAGAAGAGCTCAAGAAGGATTTTAAAAGTTAAATGAGAGAGGTAGAAGAAAAAAATGGGAAAAGAAATGAGAGGCATGCAAGAGAGAGTCAATAGCTTGGGAAAGGAAAGACAAGAGTTAAGTGTAGAAAACAATTCCTTAAAAAATACAATTGGCCAAATGGGGAAGGAGGTACACAATCTAAGAGAAGAAAACAATGTGTTAAAAATTAGAAATGAGCAAATGAAAGCCAATGACACTTTGAGAGAGCAGGAATCAGTCAAACAAAAAGAAAAGAATGAAAAAATAGATGAAAACATAAAATATCTCACTAGAAAAACAAGTGACCTGGAAAATTGATCCAGGAGAGACAATTTAAAAATTATTGGTCTACCTGAAAATCCCAATGGAAAAAAGAGCCTGGACAGTATCTTTCAGAAAATCGTAAAGGAAAACTGCCCTGAGATTCTAGAACCAGAGGGTGAAATAGCCATAGAAAGAATCCCAAATTGGAAACACCAAGGAATATAGTAGCCAAATTCCAAAATTACCAGGTCAAAGAGAAAATACTGCAAGCAGCCAGAAAGAAACAATTTAAATATCATGGAACCACAGTCAGGATTACACAGGACCTTACAACTTCTACGTTAAAAGACCTTAGGGCACGAAATATGATATTCCATAAGGCAAAGGAGCATGGATTACAACCAAGGATCAACTATCCAGAGAAAATGAGCATGATATTACAGGGGAGGAGATAGATATTCAATGAAATAGCAGACTTCCCAACCTTCCTGATAAAAAGGCCAGAGCTCAACAGAAAATTTGATCTTCAAATAGAAGACTCAAGAGAAACATAAAAAGGTAAACAGGACAGAAAGAAACAACATGTTATTAATAAGTGCAAACTCTTTACATCCCTACGAGGGAAGATGACACTTGTAACTCTTGAGAACTGTATTGTTATTACACCATATATTTATAAAGGGGGTGGGTATAAATTGACTTTGATGTAATGATGAAAAAAAATCTAATCAAGTGGGTTAAATGGATCTAAATAAGTGAATTAATCTGCTCTAATAAAATGTATTAAGAGAAAAGGAAAGGAGGAGGAAAAGAGGAAATTACATCACAAGAAAAGTCACAAAAACCTATTCCAGCAGAGGGAAAGATGGGAGATGAGTATTGTTTGAACTTTACTCTCATCAGATTTGGCTTAAGATGGGAATAACATAATCAATTAGGTATAGAAATCTAACATGCCCTATAGGCAATAAGAAGGAAAAGGGGAAAGAAAAGGGAGGGGGCTGATAGAAGGGAGGTGGGACTAAGGGAGATGGTGGTCAAAAACAAAACATTAGTGAGGAAGGAGAAGGAGAAAGGAGAAAGAAAAGCATGGATGGGGGGAAGGATAGAGAGAAAGACAGATAGTTATCATAATTGTAAATGTGATATATCAATGTAATGAAATCCTCTTGTGCTGTAAGAAATGATGAATAGGTAGACTTCAGATGAACCTGGAAAGACTTGTATGCTATGATACTGAGTGAAGTGAGCAGAACCAGGAGAATGTTTATTTATTTATTTATTTACTTACTCACTTATTCATTCATTTTTATTTATTTATTTATTTATTTATTTGTTTGTTTGTTTGTATATATAAGTTTAGATCACTTTTTAAGGAAATTGGCACTGTCTTATAGAAATTTTTATGTAATTGTCCATCTATTTAAGATAAATTCACTAACACTTAAATGAGAATTTTTTCTATGGAGATTAGCATTGCCTCTTAAATTCCTATTGTGCCAAATGGGAGTAATGCTACCTACGGGGGTGATAAAGGTAATCTAGTGAATTAAGTTAAAGCAATGAATGCCATATGTGCCACTAGCAGAAAACTGCCATGTTAGCTGCTTTGTTACTTCATACAGTGTTACTTCATGCAGAGTATATATGTATATGTACATATACACATACATACATATATACATTTTCAGTATGTGTGTGTGTGTGTGTGTGTGTGTGTGTGTGTGTGTGTGTGTGTGTGTGTGTGTGTGTAGAACCAGCAGGTGGCGCTGGCAGCTACAGTCGGAGGAGCTTTCAGTCATCCTCTGATCTGGGGATTGGCTGACGCCTGCTGGCACAACCACCCCAGCCTACCTGTCCCCCTAACCTGTGTCAGATTCAGGGAAGTAGTGTCAGTCTAGCGTGGAGATATATCCTCAGGATATAGAAAGATAAAAACACAGACACTAGCAAAAAAGGAGAGTAAACATATTAGCACAGATTGAGTCATACAGAACATCAGGTTACAGTTCCCAAGTGTGAGGCCAGACCACACTTCAGTCTGGTTCGGATTACTGCCAATGCTATAGGATCCAGTCATAATGTGGTTAAGGAGTGCAAATATGGGTCCCTTGCTCTCATTTCCCATAAAAAGGCATTGTTTGATTAGGTTCTGTGGTAGAAGGCCCTTTGAAGCCAATTTCTTTCAGAAACTTTGGCCGAGCATGTGTTTATAATGGAATTTCTGTTTTCCACAGCTCTGCTGGATTGTAGATGGCAGCAACCCTGTAGTTCTTTTGTATGTAGGTATGTATGTAATAGTGACACATATCTCATAAGTCATATTCAAATACATAAACACACAGTGTTTATTTCATGTTTATTTAATATGCTTATGGAATATTATACACATGTAGAGGAATATTTTCATATCTTACCAATGAAATGTGTGCAATTATTACTGCCTCAAGTGAGTGGCAATCCACAGCCTGCAATGAATTCATTAAGGAATTTCTTGGCCAAGTTAGGGGAGTCTACAGGAGTGCAAAGGGAGCTTTTACTCATCCATCATCTTCAGTCAGATGACCAAGGGCAGACAGAGTGTCATTAATAAAAAAGAACATAACAATATTTGCAATGTTTAGGTAACCGAGTGAATTCAACTTGCGAGTTTACAAGCAGTCCCCATGGTGAACAGCAGTTGTGGTTGTTCGCCATCGACCAATTTGAAGGCCAAGCTCACTGGGCAGGAGAAACAATGCTTCTTTGCCAAGAAGGGCCAATTTGGAGCAGCCAATTTTTTTTTATTTCCACAACAAGACTTGGTCCCACTCTGCTCTTTTGATCTGGGAGCAAGCAGCTGCCAGAAACTTCTCAGATTCATTACACATTTGATTTTGAATTAATTTTTGGTCACTATGTGTTCAGAAACCTTTTACTTTTGCCAAATTTTTCATGACCTCCACATTCAGTTATGTGACTCCACATGGGGTAGTGACCCACAGTTTAAAAAGCACTGAGATCGATTACTGAGGGCAGCACCCCCAAGTGGCCATCTAAGGGAAACATCAGGTTGTCATCGTACAGGAGATATGATTCACCAAGGCAGCCATCTTTTTCTTTGTATAGTCCCTGATCTTGGAGGATGGTCAGATCCAGAGGATGGCCAGAGATCACTGGTCTATGGATAGACAAAGGAGAACAGATGTAGGAGTCTGAGGGAAAGGAAAAGAGAGGGGAGGAGAAATAAGTATTTCTTTGTGTCTACTCTGTGCCAGGCATTGTGCTAAGCACTGTATAAATGTAATT